AGCCTGGCTGGGCTGGCTGATCCAGCGGCCACAGCTGCACACCAGCATCCCCTCTGGCAGGGCCTGCAATGCTTTTTGTGCTAAGCTCTGCATTTCCTGCATGTTCTCCTTCTCTCCTGGAGCTCTAAATTTCCTTCAGGAAACCCTCAATTGCTGTTTGTGCTGAATTCCTGCATTTCCTGCATGTTTTCTTCCTCTCCTGGAGCTTTACACCCTTACATTTCCTCTGAGAATTCCCTGAGAATTGCTTTTCGTGATTAATTCTTCTGGTTTCTGGGTGTTTTCCTTCTCTCGCAGAATGTCAGCGGAGCTCTGCACACCAGCATTTCCTCTGAGGATACCTGAATTGCTATTTTTATTCTGGGAATCCCTCAATTGCTTTTTGTGCTGAATTCCTGCATTTTCTGGATGTTTTCCTCCTCTCCTGGAGCTTTACACCCCTAAATTTCCTCTGGGAATCCCTCAATTCCTTTTACCTCTGGGATTCCCTCAATTCCTTTTTTTCCTCTGGCAATCCCTGAATTACTTTTCTTTTTTTTTTCCTCTGGAACCCTCTGAATTGATATTTTTCCCTCTAAATTGTTTTTTGCGAGCAGCTTTGGGCCCTGGCTGGGGGATTTCTCTGCAATCCCTTCCAGGGATCTGACCCTGCACTATTGGGATGTCCCAATGCTGCCAAACCTGCTCCAGGCTGGTTCAACACCCCTTAACCCCTGCTGGGCTCGTTTTTAATCCCAATTTTCCAAAATAAAACTCCCTGGCACATGAGCAATGGGCACATGACTAATCTATTAATCAGCAGCCGTGGAAATATTCCTTAATTACCCCTCCTTAATGAGCAAGCTCCACGTCAGCCGTGCCCTGGGTGCAGAGGGTTAAATCCAGCCCGGAAATTCAAATTAAAACGAAAATTAAAATCCTGCTGGGGTGAGCCAGCATTCATTCGTACTCACTCACCTGTGTGAGGAGGGAACCTGCAGCTGCTCCTGGCATCCTCTGGAATAATTCCGGGGTTTTTTGGGATTTTCTTCCTCTTCTGGGTGCTTTCCTCAGGGATCTGTCACCCCCTGGAACCCCAAATCTGAGATCCTGCCTGGGGACGGGTTTTGCTCTGATTTCCAGTCAGACCCAGCAGGATCTGGGGGAATTCTGAGGGCTGGAGAACACCAGAACCTCCCTGCTGGGAGGGCACCAGGGCTGCAGCCATCCTGGAGCTGCACACAGCATCGCTGCCTCCTGAAAAAGGCAAAAAATCCCAAAAAAAACTGGAAAAACAAAGGGAAATCACTCCCAGCTCCAGGAGCAGCCCCAAAATTGATTCCCAATCCAGGAATTCTGGTTGGGAGCTGGAGCAGGTGAGGAATCCCAAAAAACTCCTGGGAAAAGAGGTGAAAATCCCTCCCAGGTCCTGGAACAGCCCCAAAATGGATTCTCAGGGCAGGAATTCCAGCTGGAAGCTGAAGCAGGTGAGGAATCCCAAAAAACTCCTGGAAAAAGAGGTGGGAATCCCTCCTAGCTCCTGGAGCAGATGAGGAATCCCCAAAACTTCCTGGAAAAAGAGAGGGAAATCCCTCCCAGCTCCAAAATGGACTCCCAGGGCAGGAATTCCAGCTGGAACTGGAGCAGGTGGCAGCTCCCAGCTGCCAAAAATCAAAAAAAATCCTGGAAAAGAGAGGGAAATCCCTCCCGGCACCTGGAGCAGATGAGGAATCCCAAATGTTCCTGGCTCGAGGTGGAGGTTGCAGCTGGAGCTGGAGCAGGCGGCAGCGGCAGGAAGAGGAGCGGTGGCAGCAGGGAGGAGGGGATGGAGCAGGAGCGCTCATTAACAAACCCTAATTAAAGCTGGCATTGCTCAATGCCTGTGGCAGCTCCTGCCCTGTGCAGGGTTTGCTTTGGGATCAGTCCAGCTGCGATTCCCTGGCTTCCCACCTCGGAGGAGCAGGGAATTGCAAAGAAAGCTTTAAAAAACTTTATTTTAAAAAATTATTTTTAAAAATTATTTTTAAAAAGCCTTTATTAAAAAAAACCTTTATTTTTAAAGAAAATTTATTGTAAGAAAACCTTTATTTTTAAAAAAACTATATTTAAAAAAAATCTTTATTTTTATAAGACTTCATTTTAAAGACAGTTTATTTTTAAAAAACTTTTAAAAATATTTTTAAAAAGCAGAAAAAAAAGCTTTAAAAAAAAGGGAGGGAGGGAAGGAGAAGGAAAATCAGAGGGAGATGGGAAAAGGAGAACACCAGAGAGATTTGAAAAGCCTTTAAAAACTTTATTTATCTTTATTAACATTATTTTCATACATCAAATACCAGGTTTTGTTGTATCCTTTAAAAACCCTTAACATTTCCTTTTAATCTGCTTTTAATTTATTTTTAGTGCCCCAAACAACTCCTTAAAGCCTTAAAAATCCCATCTATTTCCTATAAACATAAACTGTTTTATTTACTAAACATAAACTACTAAAATTCTTTTTATTAAGAAATAAAAAATTAATTTACATAAAATCCCCCATTTTCTACATTAAAAATCCCATTTAATTCCCATAAACACAATTATATAAAAAAATAACTTTTCTACACCCCTGGTGCTTCACCTGCCAGGCAGGCCTGATGACACGGGGTTAATCGTTAATTAAAATGTTCATTAAATTGTTAATTGCTGTTTGTGCAGAGCTCTGGTGATGCCACCTGCCCTGGCATGGCTTTGTCACCTCCCCTTATTGCTCCACCCTTGTTAAAAATGAGATTTTTTTGGGGGGATATTTCTCGTTAAAAAGGAGATTTTTAAAAGAATATATATATATATATATATATATATATATATATATATATAAAATTTTTAAGATGCTTCTACATATATATTATTTAAATATATCTCATATATATATGTAAAATAGATATTTTTACACACATTATATATATGATTTACATACATCACATATATATATATATATATATATATGGAAAAATATATAAAAAATTATTTTAAGCTAAGGCTGTGCTTTTTGACAAATTGCGCTGGATAACGCTCCTTTTATCCTTTATTCAACATTTTTATATAAAATCTTTTAAGCTCTGAGCCCTATTTCTCGCAGTTTGAGTGTCCGGATCACCCTCCCCGCTGGGGCGCGATATTTCCTCGCATTCTGTCGCGACAGGGCTCGCGCGTCCCCTCACGGTTCCCCTCATGGTTCCCCTCACGATTTCCCTCCCGGTTTCCCTTCACGATTTCCCTCAGGGCTCCCCTAACGATTTCCCTCCAGGTTTCCCTTCACAATTTCCCTCAGGGCTCCCCTCATGATTCCCCTCACGGTTCCCGCCCTGCGCGCGCGGTCCCGGAAGCGGAAGCCGCGCGGGCCCCGGAAGCGCCGCCGGCTCCTTCCCGGCAGCGCCGCCATCTTGGCTTGGGCCGTGAGGGAGCCGCGGCCGCCGCTGCCCGCCCCGCCTGCTCCGCCGCCATCGCGGCCCGGCCGCCGCTGCCCGCCTGCCTCCCTCCCTCGGCCGCGGGCAGGAGGGGCCGCCCGGGGCCTGGCGGCCGCGGAGAGGTAAGCGGGACGGGGACGGACGGGCGGGCTGCCTTCCTGTCTCACTGTCTCTCTGCGTTCTCCTTCTCCCTCCGTTTTCCCCTGTCCTTCCCTCCCTTTTTCACCCTTCTCTTCTCTTTCAGTCCCTCCTTTCCTCGGCTGCCTTCTTGTCTCACCCTTTTCTGCCGTTCTCCTCCTTTCTCTCCTTTCCCCATCTCTCTCTTGTTTCTCCTTCCCCCCTCCTTTTTCCCTCTCCTGTTTCTCTCCTTCCCTTCCTCCTTTTCCACCTTTCCCCTCTCTTTCAGTCCTTCCTTTCCTCTTTCCCTTCTTCCCTCCCTCTGTGGTTCCTCTTTCCTCTCTCTCATTTTCATTCCCTCCCTTCCTTTTCCCTTTCCCCTTTTCCTTTCAGTCCCTCTCTCTTTACCTCTCCCTTTCCCCCTTTTTCTTCCCCTTCTTTCTTATTTTCTCCTTTTCTCCTTTCCCTTTTCGTCCCTCCCTTCCTCTTTCCCTTTTTCCCTCTCTCTCTCCATTTTCTCTTTTCCTCTCCCTTTTATTCCCCCGTTTTCTCGCCTTTGTCCCTCCTTTTTACCCTCTTCCCCCCCCCCTTTTCTCCCCTCTTTTTCCGTGCTTTTTACTCCTTAAAAATTCAAATAATGGAATTTAAATCCAAATCATTGAGTTTATCTCTCAAAACAACCCATAAAGTGGATTTTATGAAGACCTGGAGAAAGCCTCTATGAAGCTCTGTGCTTATTAAAATTACACTAGTTAATTGTCGTTAATTAGATTATATTATTACGATTTGCTATTATTTTTGCTCTGTAAAAATTGAAATAATTGCGTTTATATCTTAAATACAACCTATAAAATAAAATTCTTTGGAATTTTATTATTAAGTTTTATGTGATTCTTGCTCCTTAAAAACCGAAATAATTCAATTTATATCTCACAGCCCATAAAGTGGATTTTTTTAAGGAGCTGGGGAAAGGTTCTAGTAAGCTCTGTGCTTACTGAGGTTGCATTAATGAATTTTAATGAATGGATTTAATTGTAATTACCGTGTGTGTTAATCAGATGAGCAGCAGCAGCAATAAGAGAGCCCCCACCACAGCCACGCAGAGGCTGAAGCAGGATTACCTGAGGATCAAAAAGGATCCAGTGCCTTACATCTGTGCTGAGCCCCTGCCCTCCAACATCCTGGAATGGTGGGCATGGGATGGGGAATGGGAAATGAGAATGGGAGTGGGAAATGGGAATTGGAGAGTGGGAACTGGGTGGGAGCTGGGACCGATTGTCCCTCGCCCCTGGGAGCTGGCGTGAGCTGTCCCTCGCCCCCGAGAGCAGAGGCTTCCCCAGGCTCTCGGCTCCTTCTCCCTCTCTCTGCAGTCTGGGCAGGTGCACAGGGGAGCTTTGCCTGAGGCTGCTCCTGATTCTTTGGGCTGTTTGTGGTTTTTCCCAGTGTTCCATTCCCCTCTTTTCCAGGCACTACGTGGTGCGAGGGCCTGAGCTGACCCCGTATGAAGGTAAATCCCTGCCTGGAGGGCTTCCATGGAAAAACAGGAATGCCAGCGGGTGGGAAAAGGCAAAATAACCCCACTAAAAACAGCTCCAAAAACTGGGAAGGAGGTGAAGAAATAGGGATGCTGCTGTCAATCGTTCCTATCAGGAATGGGATTTAATAGCATTTTATATGTATTTATTAAATATAATTTATTTCACACATTTTTGGGGTAGTTAGGAGAAGGAATAAAGCAGGGGAGTTGGGGATGGGAATTTGAATTGGGGTGGGAATTATTAATTAAATATAATCCTTCAACCCATTTAGGTGGTTTAGAAGAAGGAATGTAGCAGGGGAATTGAGGATGGAAGTTATTGATTAAATATAACTCATTTAACCCATTTTTTGCTGGTTTGCAGGTGGATATTACCACGGAAAATTAATATTTCCTCGAGAATTCCCTTTCAAACCCCCCAGTATTTATATGATCACCCCCAATGGAAGGTTCAAGTGCAACACAAGGTAAGGGCTCCTTCCCAGACTGCAGCCATTCCCATCCCAAATCCAGGCCCCCTTCCCAGCATTCCCCCCAGCCGTTCCCAGCCCAATTCCCGGTTCCTGGCTGTCTGTCCCTGGCCAGGCTCTGTCTGTCCATCACGGATTTCCACCCGGACACCTGGAACCCGGCCTGGTCCGTGTCCACCATCCTGACGGGGCTGCTCAGCTTCATGGTGGAGAAGGGGCCCACCCTGGGCAGCATCGAGACCTCCGAGTTCACCGTGAGTCCCCTGGGGAGAGTTCCACCACAGTTGGGGTTTCTCGGGGTAAAGCCTGGCTGGGATTGGGTTCCTTTTTCCTGTCTCTCCCACTGGTCCGCAGGATGAAAAATGAACAAAATTTATGCCCCACAAACCTCAATTTTAGTCAATAGTCCTCACAAATGTGATGCTTTAAATGTTAAAACCCACTTGGTGTGAGGTTTGCACCATTGTGGTGGGAAATCAGGGGTGGAATTGAAATAAATGGATTGAATTTTCATGGAATTGCTGATAAATTTGTTTTTTCTCCCCAGAAAAGGCAGCTGGCTGCACAGAGCTTAGCATTTAATTTAAAAGATAAAGTCTTCTGTGAGCTCTTCCCTGAAGTGGTGGAGGTAAGGAAATCTCCATTCATTATTCATTTTTCAGCTCCAGACCTCCCTCGCTGCCCCTCCCCAAATTCCACTTTCCCATGCAGGAAATAACCAACAACACCCAAATCACCCCAAATTCCATTGAATTTTCTGTTCCCCCATGCAGGAAATCAAACAAAAGCCCCCAAATCCCCACACATTCCACTTGTCCACTGGCTTTGCTCTCCCCTTGCAGGAGATGAAGCAGAAGCAGAAGGCGCAGGACGAGCTGAGCTCCAGGCCGCCGTCGCTGCCGCTGCCCGACGTGGTGCCGGACGGGGACGCGCACCTGGGGCACAACGGGCACGCTGCCCTGCTGCAGGGGCAGCACGCGGCCCTGGCGCCCGGGCACGCCGGGGGGCTGCAGCAGCCCCCCAGGAACCACGGACTCTTGGGGGGAGCCCTGGCGAACTTGTTTGTCATCGTGGGCTTCGCCGCCTTCGCCTACACAGTCAAGTACGTGCTGAGGAGCATAGCCCAGGAGTGAGAGCCTGCAGAGACCAAATGTGCTGGGCTGGGGGTGAGCGGGGCTCCTCGGGGGGGAGATGTGGGGTTTGGCCCTGCCGGGGCCGTGCTGGGCTCGGGGAACGTTTTGGCTTGTAGAGTTCTGCTCCATCTGTGGTGTCAACAGTGAAGATCTTCAGCCAAGTTTTATTCTGTTGAGTTTTCACTTCAGGATGAATGGGACTCTTGGAATGGGACTCTTGGGGTGGAAAATTAGGGGTTTTGCCCTTCCTTGGGTCATGGTGGGGCTTGGTGAGACACATTGATTTGTAGAGTTCTCCTCCATCTGTGGTTTGAACATTGAAGATCTTCAACAAATTTGACTCTGTTGACTTTTCAATTCAGGGTGAATGGGACTCTTTGGAATGGGGCTCTTGGGGTGGAAAATTTGGGGTTTTTTGCCTTTCCTGGGTTGTGGTGGGGTTTTGGGTTCAGAAGTCAAAGCATTGTTGGGGAGCCCTTTGATTTGTAGTTCTCCTTCATCTGTGGTTTTAACATTGAAGATCTTCAGCCAATTTTGACTCCATTGAGTTTTTCATTCAGGATGAGTGGGACTCTTGGAATGGGACTCTTGGGGTGGAAAATTTGGGGTTTTTGCCCTTCCTTGGGTCATGGTGGGGCTTGGTGAGGCCTGTTGATTTGTAGAGTTCTCCTCCATCTGTGGTGTGAACATTGAAGATCTTCAACACCTTTGACTCTGTTGAATTTTCACTTCAGGATGAATGGGACTCTTGGAATGGCACTCTGGAATGGGACTCTTGGGGTGGAAAATTTGGGGTTTTTGCCCTTCCTGGGTTGTGGCGGGGTTTTGGGTCTTGCTGCTGGTGAGAAGACAAATTTATTGGTTTTATTGTCCCAAGAATTGGTTTTATTGTCCCAAAAATGGGGGTTTGTGTCCCAAAATCCAGCATGTGGGGCTCTGGGGATGGAGGGAACAGCACCTGGGGAGGGAAAAATTCCAATTTTGGGGTGGGAATAACCAAGGAGCTCCTGCAGAGCAGCTGGGTCAGAGGAAAACCCCAAATGTGGTTCCACTTGATTCAGGATTTGCTTTAATTCTTAAAAAACCCAAAATTCCTTTGGGATTCATCTGCTGAGGTAAGACCTTAAATTTTGTTTAAAACCATCAAAACCCTAGCCCTATTTTTTTGTTTTTCCCCTAAAAATTTGTTGCATTTAAACCCCAAAATTCCAATTCTTTGGAATTCCCTGGATTTGGAGGAAGGTTTGTGGGATCCCTGTGGATTCCAGGATTTGGGAATGGAATTTTTATTCCCATTTTTTGGGGTTAATTTGTGTTTTCCTGGGAATTCAGCTTTTCCCCCAAAGAAAAAGAAAAAATTAAATTTCAACTTCTCCCTCAGGATAAAATCTTGGGATAAATCCTTGAAATTGCAGCTGTAATTCTATGGATTTAAAAGTTTTGGAATTTTCCCCAGAATCTTTATTTTTAATAAAAATTCCTGGATTTTGGGGGGATTTTCCCCTTTTTCCTGGATTTTCCAAGCTCAGAGGAGTGGGAATGGCTGCGTTTTAAAGTGATTTATTCATAATAAAAATCCATAAAAAAACGACTTTGTGGGACTTCTTTGGGGAATAAAATTCCATGGGGAAAAAATGGGATTTGGGATATTTCAGTTCATAAATAAAATAATGAAAAATATTCATTTTTCCTGATTGTTTTCCTTTTTTCAGTCGGATTTTCCAGCGTCCCTTGGATGTCTTCGTGTCTTTCCTTCATCATTCATAATTTCTGTAATTCCTTGAAATTTTGGGATATTTTTTAGCATTCCTGCTGATAATTACTGATTTTAATTAAAATTAAATTATAAATAATAAATTATAATATTATATACTGGATAGTTAATAATTGCAATTATATTAAAATTATATATCTGCTTTATTTATAAACAAATTATAAATTATGAATACTTAATAATTTAATTAATAATTACAGATAATTTAATTAATGAACAATCAGGGATTAATTAATCCTGCCATTTTCATGGGGGGAAAAAATTGGATTTTTAAAGCCAGAAAATCCCATTTCCAGCAGAAAAATCACCAAAAAAGGGGAATTAACTCCTTAAAAACTCCAGGAATTCCCAAATTCCTGGAATTTCTTTTGGGAATGAGGACGGCTCATTAGGATTAATTAGGAATTCTTAATTAGCGCCGGGAGCTTTGCCCTGCCGGGTTATTTCCCTTTTGGAGTGGCAGAAATTTGGGAATTTTTTCTATTTTTCCGGGAATTTGGGGGTTTGGGGATCGGCCACGAGGTGGCGCCACCGTGTCGGGAATTGGGGCTGGAGCGGATTTGGGGAATCCTGGAAAATCCTAAACTGGGAACGATCCCAAATCCCAAAATCGCGAAATCCCAGCCTGGGGGCGGCTCTGGGAATGGAGGAATTCCCTGGGGATATTTTATGGGATTGTCACAAAATCCGGGAATGTTTGGGGCTCTGGGAATGGGGGAATTCCCTGGGGATATTTTATGGAACTAAAATTGGGAAAAGAATTTTTGGGGCGATCTCCAACCCCTCCAGGAGAAAGCCAGGATGGGATGATCCCAAAAATCAGGAAAGGGATTTTGGGAATTATCCCAAAATTGAGAAGAGGATTTTGAAATTGAGAAGATTTTTGGGATGATCCTGAAATTGGGAAGGGAATTTCTGGGATGATCCAAAAATCAGGAAAAGTATTTTTGTGATAATCCCAAAAATTTGGGGATATTCTGGGGGGATTTTTGGGATTTTTCCCAAAAAATCAAGAAAAGGATTTCTGGGATGATCCCAAAATTGGGAAGGGGATTTTTGGGATTTCCCAGCCTGGGGCTCTGGGAATTCCATCGGCCCCGGGAAGGTCCTACAGGCGCCAGAGAAGTTCAAAATTATCAACAAATCCCAAAAATGAGCAACAAATCCCGCCTGGAATGTGCTGGGCTGAGCTGCCCTTAACTCCTGCCGTGCTGGGCACCTCCCCCTGGGACTTTTCCCCTTCCCAAATTCCAGGGTTCCATTTCTTCCCATTCCCAAATTCAATTTAATTCATTTTTTTCCCTTCCCAAATTCCATTTTTTCCCCATTTTTTCCTGTCCCCAAATTCCACATTTTTCTGGAGGTGCTGCCAAAAAACCAGGGGACAAAATTTGATTTTTCTGGATTTTGGGTTGGGAGTGTCCCGTGCCTCAGTTTCCCCAAGATCCAGAGTTTTCCTCCCAATACATAAAACTTCTTCTCCTTATCCACAAAACTGGGAAATAAAACAGGGATTCTGCTCTATCCATGCTGAGGTTTATCCCGAGGCAGGGATTTTCAGCCCTTCCAGGTGCTCCAAATTCCCAAAAAAACCCTGATTTCCCTGGGATAAATTTCCCCAAAAAAGCTGATTTTCCTGAGAGAAATTTGCAAAACCCTCCTGATTTCCCTGGGATAAAATCCCAAAAAACCCTGATTTTCCTGGGATAAAATCCCAAAAAACTGATTTTCCCAGGATAAAATAAAAAAAAATCCTGATTTTCCTGGGATAAAATCCCAAAAACTGATTTCCCCAGGATAAAATCAAAACAATTCTGATTTCCCTGGGATAAAATCCCCCCAAAAAAGTTGATTTTCCTGGGATAAATCCCAAAAAACCACGGATTTTTCTGGTATAAATTCCGAAAAAAGAATCTGATTTTTCTGGGATAAAATCCTCCAAAACTCGGATTTTGCTGGGATGCGCGGGGAGGGAGCGGGCGCTGATCCCGATCTGGGGCAGTTCCATTATCGGGGAATTTCATGGGATCGTGGAGCGGCGCCTGCAGCTCCTCCTTTTTTCCCTTTTTTTTTTTTCCCCTGTTTTTTTCCTCCTCCTTTTCTGGGAGTTGATGGAAACTCCTCCGGGAAGCCGCGAGGAGCCGGAGCCGCGGCAGGAGCTGCGATTTGGGATCTGCGATTTGGGATCTGGGATTTGGGATCTGGGGTTTGGGATGGGGAACCCGCGCCCTCCCGCCCCGTGACAGCGCCGGGGGCTGCGGGGATTTTTTAGGGAAAAACCGAAAAAAGGAAAAACTTGGGGAAGCTCCACCTGCTCCTGCCGGGCTCGGGAGGTTTCGCTTCCCCCCGCGGAGCTTTTGGGGTGTGAGGAATTTGGGGTTTGGTTTTTGGGGTTTTCTCGGGGGGTGTGAGGCATTTGGGGTTTGGGATTGTTTTTTGGGATATGCTTTTTGGGGTTTGTGTTTTGGGATGTAAGGAATTTGGGGTTTAGGATTTGTTTTTTGGGGTGTGGGAGGTTTGGGGTTTGATTTTTGGGGTTGTTTTTAGGGATTTGTTTTTTGGAGTGTGAGAGGTTTGGGTTTTGGGATTTGTTTTTTAGTGTTTGAGGAATTTGGGTTTTGGGATGTGAAGGATCTGGTTTTGGGAATTGCTTTTTGGGGTGTGAGAGGTTTGGGGTTTGGTTTTGACAGTTTGGTTTTTTTGGGATGTAAGGAATTTGGGGTTTGGGATTTGTTTGTGAGGGGTTTAATTTTGGGGTGTGAAAGGTTTGGTTTTTGGGATTTATTTTTTGGGGCGTGAAGAATTTGGTTTTGGGGATGTGAAGGATTTGTTTTGAGGGATTGGTTTTTTAGGGCGTGAGGGATTTTTGGGGGGGGACGTGAGGGGTTTGTTTTTTGGGATTTGAGGGATTTGGTTTTTGGGGTGTGATTAATTTGTTGTATGGGATCTGGTTTTTTTGGGTTTTGGGGGTTTTTTTTTGGGTTTTTTTTTTTGGGATGTGAGGGGTTTAGGTTTGTGGGATTTGTTTTTTGGGATGTGAGGTGTTTGTTTATTGGGGTTTGACAGTTGTTTTTTGGGATTTGTTTCTTGGGGTGGGAGGAATTGTTTTGGGATGTGAAGGATCTGCTTTTTGGGGTGTGAGGGATCTGGTTTTTGGGATCTGCTTTTTTGGGATCTGGTTTTTGGGGTGTGAGGGATCTGGTTTTTGGGATCTGGTTTTTTAGATCTTTTTTGGGATCTGTTTTTTGGGGTGTGAGGGATTGTTTTGGGGTGTGAGGGCTCTGTGTTTTGGGCTCTGTGTTTTGGGGTGTGAGGGATCTGTTTTTTGGGGTGTGAGGGATTTCTTTGGGGTGTTTTGGGATCTGTGATTTGGGCTCTGTGCTTTGGGCTCTGTGTGTTGGGCTCTGTGATTTGGGCTCTGTGTTTCGGGATCAGTTTTGGGATCTGGTTTTTGGGGTGTGAGGGATTTCTTTGGGGTGTTTTGGGATCTGTGATTTGGGCTCTGTGTTTCGGGATCAGTTTTGGGATCTGTGTTTTGGGGTGTGAGGGATTTCTTTGGGGTGTTTTGGGCTCTGTGTTTCGGGATCAGTTTCGGGATCAGTTTTGGGCTCTGTGTTTTGGGCTCTGTGT